AACCTCAGAGCGGTTGTTAACCTGGCCAAACTAGGAGCAGAGACTAGCCGTTGACACAGCACCCCGTGTATTTATTCAGCATGCATCGGGCTCCTGTTGTGTGCCAGACACTGTGTTAAGCCCTAGCCTCAGAAAGAAGGGCCTTGGAGGAGCTCCTGGGGATAAGAAAGACAATCCGAGGAACAATTATAGTGCAGTGTAATAATACAGGGGGCGTGAGGTGGAGAGGAGGAACATGAGCGAGCCAGGAAGGCTTCTGAGAGGAGGTGAGTATTGAGTGGGCACCAGACGAGCAGGAGGGTGTGCCAGGCTGAAAGCCGCAGTGTGTGTTGGGGGTGGTGGGAGGCTTGACGGGATAACAAGAATTCCAGATAGATTTTCTGGTGCAAAGGTAAAGAAACTGAAAAGGGCCAGTATCCTGACTTAGAATGTCAGGTAACCCTACATCAGATAACCAAGCAAGTCCAGGGCGCATTGTAGGAAATGATCTGTCAACGTGGCAGGGGGCTAAAACGTGCACAGGTCTTAAAATGTAGCCTTAGACTACTTAGAATTGTGTCCCGGGATGAAGGAGGGCAGTGGAAGAACTTGGATCAGTGATCAAGTTACCCTGGCAGCCCTGTGGGAAATGGAGACTGGAGCAAGTAGAGGCTGGTGAGTGGTAGCTACTAATTCTGATGTGGCCGCACATGCACTGGACCCCTCAGGCAGCCTCATCTGCCCCTGAGCCCCACTCCCCGTTTTCTGGGCACAGATTCATTCTGGTGGGGAGACGTTGCCCGTGTGATACTTGTTTCTGCAACCTGAGGGTCATTTTTATATGGCTTCTGGAGGCTTTGACCTAGACCTTCTCATCAGAGATGGCCCCTGGAGGGCTGTGACCTGCTGGCCTTCCCCTCTCCCTGGGCTCCCCTTTCTGTCTCACAGACACGCAGCCTCAGCTGTTGGGCTGTAGGGAAGAGCAGAGGCTTGCTGGGGAGCCAGACCAGGAAGTCACCTTAGTTATGTGCCCTGGGGACATTGTCAACCTTTCTGAACCTCAGTTTTCTGATTTTAAAGGAAATCACCATACTCACCTGAGATAGGTCGGGTTCCCTGGAAAAAGGCTGAGACTCTGAGAGTCTTGTGGAGGAGGATTCTTGGGGAGGGGTCTTATTCTCCAAGTGGGGAGCGGGGAGGAAGCAGGACTGGGCAGAGGGAGAAGTTGATCTGTGATCAATGCAAGAAAGGTCTCAGTTGATCCCCTGAGGCATGGGGCCAGGCCTTTGATGCCCCACATGGACCAGCCAGTGGGTGCAGGCTGTCCCCATGGAAGGGCCATGACTTTGGGTGTCCCTTCAGCAGGACAGTTTCTGAGGAGGGACTTAGCTGTCAGGCCTGGGCAGCAAACACTCCCTGCAGCTGGGCATGGGGGAGCAAAGGGTGCTTTGGTCTTGTAGGGGGGTTGAGAGAGGCACCACAACGACCACCCTCACAGGAAGGGAAGTCAGTGTGCCCTGCACTGTGCCTGGTGCACAGCGGGCATTCAACGGTGTTCGTTTTTCTTGCCTTTAAACTTCCTGACTGCATGTGAAAGTGGATTTTGGAGTCAATCAGCATTTTGTGAGGAAAGAACCTTTCATATTAATAGCCACAGCGACTGCTGTTCCCTTTATTGAGTGCCTGTTATGTCTGTACATTCTCTCCTAGTTATCCAGTAACACTCCAAGTTAGGTACTTTTATTCTCATTTTACAGTCAACCCAGTTTTCCAAAACCCAACAGAGCAGGTGCCCTTTCGCCATAAAATAATAGCAATCACAACAACAATCAAAACGATGTGATTTGGGCCGGCCGAATGGCTCAGTTGGTTAAGAGCTCGCTCAAGAGTTTGAGCTCTGAGCAACAGTGGTTCAAGGCCAGCCCGAGCTGAGTAGCCGCTAAGCTGCCAATAGGTAGCAGGATGGCTCAGCTAAAAAAAAAAAAAAAAAAAAAAAAAAAAAAAAAAAAAAAAAACGATGTGATTTGTTATGTTCCCTGAAGTGGTTTCATTGGTGGATTGATTAATTCATTATTTTTTAATCCCATCATTAATTCAATCAAGGGGTGTTGAATACCTCCCAAATGCATGGTGCTTTCCTAGGTGCTGGAAATACAGTGTAGTCTATTAGGGGAGAAAGAGACAGACATTAAATGCTTTGCTTCTTCAAAAGCAAACACTGAAGGATAGAACATCACATCGCATTGCCAGGATGGGATCAAGAGTAACAGGCCCTTTTCCCACCTGACTCCTTCTCATCCTTCAGTTTCAAAATAACCTCCTCAAAAAAGCCTTTTGGGCCCACCTGTGTAGGTCCTCTCCCTTTTACTCTCCCTTCATAGCACTTGTCCATCCATTCTATTTATTTTCCTGTTTTCTGTCCTTCCCACTAGACTGTAGGATCCAGGAGAGCATACATTGCTTTATCCCAAGATCCCAGCACAATGTTTAGCGCATATTTCTTGAATGAGTGAAATGAACGAAGGGCGAACCTGCTTCACAGAGTGGCCAGGCAAGGTCAGGCTGAGGAGTGATATTTACACTGACACCTGAGGGATGAGAAAGATGCGGCAATGCCAAGACCGAGAAGCAGGGAAAACAGCTGGTTCGAAGACCAGGAGGTGGAGGAACGGAGCTCAGCGTGACTGGGCAGCAGCCTGAGATGAGTTTGGAGAAGTAGATGATACTTCGGGAGGCCATGCTGAGATTGGATTTTACTCAAAGTGCAGTGGAAAGTCACTGAAGGATTTTAAGCCTAATAATGACTTGGCATTATAGTGTATATTTGTTCGTTTGTTGTCTGTTGTGCTTCTAGGAGGCAAGCTCCGTGAAGAAAAGTGCTCAGTAAATATTGCTGAAGTGAGCGAGAGAAGAAGGGGATCTTGTCGCAGATTAGGAGTTAGGTGAGAGAGATATTGGCGTCCTGACTACAGGGTAGCAATGGCATTGGAGAAAAGTAGAAGGATTGGAGCTATATTTGGGGTGTGCAATGGACAGGACTTGATGCATTAGATGAGGGGAATACAGTAAAGCATCAAAGATGACCCCTAGGTTTATGGTTTAAGATTGGGTGATTGCCAAATGTCCATCAACGGGTAAATGGATAAACAAAATGTGGTCCTTGCTTACAATGGCATATTACTCAGCCATAAAAAGGAACGAAGTGCTGATACATGCTACAAAGTGAATGAACCTTAAAAACATTCTAAATGAAAGTAGCCAGACACAAAAGATCGAATATGATTCCATTTATATTAAATATCCAGAATAGGTCAATCCATAGAGGCAGAAAACAGATGGGTGTTTTGTGTTTGCCGGGGACTTGGGGAGGAAGGATAAATGGGGCATGTCTGTTTAAAGGGTAAGTGGTTTCCTTTTGGGGTTATGAAACTAGAAAGATGTGGTTGCATGACATTATGAATATACTAAATGCCACTGAATTGGTTAATTTTAATTGAATTTCACCTCAACTATGAAGAAAAGATTGGGTGGCTAGGAGCACCAGTCACAGAGTGGAAGAGACTGGGTGAGGCGCAAATTGGGGTTAGGGGAGAAAACTCAAATGCTCTCTTGAAGATGCCCCAGACGTTGACATGGCGCCTGGGGTAGTAGTGGGGAAGGCTGGGCTGGAGGTACAAACGTGAGAGTTGTCAGCACATAGAAGTCAGCCGACAAAACGGATGAGATCTAGGGAGAGAGTGTAGCCAAGCACACCTGAGCCTGGATCAGTCTTTAATTTGAACCTCATAACTACCTGTGAGGAAGGTACAGTCGTCCTCCTTTTCAGAAAAGGAAACCAAGGCCCCCACAATGAACTTGCTCAAGGTGAAATAATTTATTCTTGGGGGTTTCCTGGCTTCCAGTCCTTTGTCTTTCCCTTCTCAGCATGATGCCATTTAGAACTTCACCAAAGACCCCTCCCGCCTCCTCTCCCCTCTCCCCTCCCTGCTCCTTTCCTCTTGCAGTCCTGGTTGAATGTACACCTGTGTCGGGCACGGGCACTGTGCTGGGCAGATGTTGGTGGGGCAGGTAGAAATGGCTCTAACCTTGTGGAGTTTGCTCAGTAAACAAGCAGCAGCAGCCCACTGATACAGGCACCTTACGATTTCAAGTAGAGGCTTCAAAGGGGTAGCCAGGTAGGGTGCAAACAGCCTGACTTTCAAGCCAGGCTCTGTCTCTTGAGCAACTGACTTATATTCTCTGAACCTTTCTTTTTGTACCTGTGAAATGGAGCCAGTAATGTCCACTGCTTAGCATAGGAAGTAATTGTGATGATGCAGTAAAGTACTGGGTACATAATAAATACTCAGAAAAAAACATTATCTCATTTATCTTTTGGAGAGGAAGAGTTTCTGAACAGACCGGTGGTCCCCACACTCTGTACACTATTTAACATACATATACCCATGCTCCATCTGAAGAATTTGATTTAGATGGTTTATGGTGGAACAAAGCAGTCTGTGTGTTTAGAAAGCACCCCAGATGATCCTGATAAAAGCGAGGTCCAGGAACATTGCTTTAGACCAAATGCTTGAGTCATTGCTGTGATGAACAAGAAAGGGTTAAGCACCTAGAAGCTGAATGTTGCCTTCTAGGAATTATTAGCCAATGACAGAGCTGACAGATGATGTAATGTCTCTGGCTGGCACATCATTGGTTAAGTGTATTGTTTCTCTCGCTTCAGCTGTGAGGAGCAAAGCTGGAGTCCAAGGGTTAATCATTCTGTGGCAGCAGATGAGTTATTTTTTTCCCATTCCTCTTCTGCTAGGTGTGAGTGTATAGCACAGTAGCAGATTGTTGTCCTTCTCCTCCCAATAAACAGTTGCACCTTCCCCCTTACCTCCTCCTCCCAAGCAGAGCACATGTCTCGGTAGTACTACGGAGGAGGGCCAGGCTGAGGAGGAGGGGAGGGAGGCGGGAGGAAGGGGGTGGGGATCAGTTAAGGAAAGGAGAGCCCTTGCAAAGTTCCGTGCTGCAGTCTCTCCTTGCCACTGGGGACACGCACAGCCCCAGCTGCTCTGGCCTTACAGATGTCCTACTGGATGAACTGCTACACTGTCACCTGCTTCTGAGTGCTGCTCAACCTGGCGGGGACCCTCAGAGCCGGGAGGTGAGCCCAGGGTTTTGGAAGAGGGAGTGGGCCTGGCAGAGAGGAGCCTGAGGGCAGTGGGAGGGCACAGCTTCGGACTGAAGGTCAGGCACATTCCACTGCTGCCCCAGGCTGCATGCGGTGTGAACTTGGGCACCATGGTCTGCCTCTCTTGGGTCTGTTTGCTCCGATACAGGGTGAGGCTTAGGTGAGGGCCCTCTGAGCTCTGGGAGACACTGGCTGGGAGTGTGCTGACCAGGAGCTCCACACAGCATGCTTTTGGTGTAGCTGTCTGTCAAATGCCCCTTGAAGATCCATGCTTTGTCCTGGGAACCTGGGACCAGAGGCAGCGTCAACTGGAGCCAGCTCTAACCCAGGCCCCTCCTTACATTGTCTGGGCTCCCTCGTTAGTAGAGGGGCCCTTGGTAGACCTTGGGCTGAGCTTTCTCTAGAAACACCTGAATGGCCTCAGGGATTTTGATCATGTCCTCTGGGAGGACTGTTGGGTCCCTGACCCTGGAGTTGTGGTTGTGCCTTCATGAACTGGGGCACTCCCAGTTGTCTCCTGCTGGCGCTCTTAGGGGTTGGGAGAGGAATTCTTTTTGTATTATGGACAGTACAGTTGTGACGATTTTCATGTTTGTGTTGATTGGGGCATGGATTAATTGCTCCAGCCTGAGACTTCTCACCCTGCCCAGAGAGGATCCTAATGCAAGCATGTCTGCCTCAAGGTGTAAATTGAAAAGAGCAGAAGTGGGGATGGACAAAGGGAGTAGAGTCCCAGGGAAAGGCGGCTAGCAAGAAACCCTGACCTTTATTTCATAGGTAATTCAAGAAAACCTTGGATTTCATAGACAAGCTGTAATGCCACTTCTCTCTTGCAACCCTCCAAAAAGTGCATAAAGAAAAAGTTCAGTTATTTTTGTTTCAGAATTTGGTTATAAATGGGACATTCCCACTTGCCTTAGGGAGAGAGGAGCCTGTACAGGGCTCTGTGTGTCTCTGATGGCCCTTGGCATCTGCTGCCCTGTGTTCCGGTCCGGCTTTGCAGCTGAGGGACCTGGAGGCCCTCGGGCTGTGCCTGTCTGAGCCTCGGTTCCCTCATTTGTCAATCACACAGGTAGGAGGGAGTTAGACTAGCTGACTTTTAGGGCCCCTCTAGCTCTGTCTGTGCTTTGGGGTGCAGCAAGCCTTGGGAATCTGAGCCTGTTGACTGAGTTGGATGGGTCAAGAATGTTTGAATAAAGGGACATGCAGCATATGTCCCCTGGGTACTGGGGACTTGACACATGTTTAACTCATGTCGCCCTGCCAGTAGCCCTGGGGTTAGGCAGAATTAACCCCACTCTACAGATGTGAAAATCAAGGCTGAAGGCGACTCAGTGACTTATCCAAGATCATCACTTAGTAAACGCTGAGACTGGTATTTACATGTGTGCAGGTGAACATACTGGGTGGCGGTACACGGCGAGGTAACGGAAGGGCTGGAGCTGGAATCCGCATCTACCTTCGCTTCCTCGATGCTCTTCTTTCTACTGGAAATCATACACTGATTCTGGGATCGACTAGTTTAGCCAGATTATTGTGAATTATCCAGTTTACTGTCTGGGACAGAAGATTAGGGGACCCTGGGTCCAAAAGGGACCTTATAATCATTTGGACAGGCCGCTCAATGTGTCACTGAGAAAATGGAGGTCCAGAGAAGTTGGTGACTTGTGCCATGTCACTCAGTGAGTTGCTAGACCGCAGGGGGTGGGGTCCAAGACTCCGTGTCTTAGGTGTTTGAAGTTGTATTATTATTAATGAGTTCTTTAAAACTTTCATTTGAGAACTTTGGGGTCATGTGATTTAGTTATTATCACCTCCAGGCCCCTTTAAAGTGCCAGAGGGTTGGAGTAAGACCCACTGAGCAGCTACTCTACACCTGGCATGGTGGCAGGTGTCCGAGACGTGGAAGCGGGTGTAAGCAAGCCGACTCTGAGACCTTGAGGAGCCTCAGGACATAAGCTGGGTTTCATGAGGGTTGAGCTCACAGGTCAGCAGTCTGTCCCAGTGGGTGGGCAGAGGCCCCGACCCATTCTCTCTGCCTGCGCCTGGCACCTAATCTATGCACGGTAAGAACAGTTGCCACGTGACACGTGGTCTCTGTTCTTTGTCTTCAAATGAGCCACCTGTTTCCAGGACACAGCTCACAAAATGTGGAGCTCCATTAATTGGTGACGCCACCTCATGGAGGAGGTGGGTGTCACTGACTTGGATGTGCAGAAATGTATGCCCAGAAAGAAAAACCATCAAGTAGTTCTTTAAAAGCGTAGGGCAGATACTCGACGCTTTTCTTGATCACTGTCATGTTAAGAAAGAATCGTCCTAATAATACCATTCTCCAATATCTGAATGATTATCATGGGAAAGAGGGATTATAATTATTCTGCAGGGCGGAAGAGCAAACGAAGCCAGCAGCAATAGGTGGCATTTGGAGGGAGCACATGGCAGATAAATGTAGGGCAAGTGTGCTGGCGGTGGGAGCTGTCTAGTGGGCAAGAGTCTACACCCCATGCCCCTGTCATCAGACGTGGGTGGTAACCCTCAGGCATTGCTGCCCTGGAAAAGAGTAGCCCTTGGTAGCCTCTGACTTCCCTTCTAGATCGAAAATGTCTGGATTATCTATCAAGCAGGAGTAAATGAGAGGAGGCCTGGGGTCTTGCAGAGCTGTGTCTTACCCCTCCTTTAGGTGCCAAATTGCAGTACAGGGAGAAAACCATTCATAGCTAAAAATACCCTTGAAAATATTTTAATTGCCAAAACACTGCATTATATATGGTTTGGAAGTATGCGGACCTGAACAGTAATTTCTGTGCTAACTTGTGTGCAAAACATGACCTAGACTAAAAGCAGCAGCAAGAGAAAGTCCATCTGCAGTCATCTGGGTCTTCATACTGTTCCGTCTTGAAGGTAAATTTCTAACGGACATGGGGTGGGGTGCTCTCCCTTGCAGGTGTTATGCTTTTCTGCTTGAATAAACAGCCTCTAATACCTTCATCTATGTTAACAGTTTTTTTCCGATGGTAATGAGAATTAAATGACAGAACATATGTGGAAACTCAGAGCCCAGGAACTGTCACATTGGTCCTGGAAGGTAATCAGGATCTGACTCTAGCAGACTTGTTTATGCAGGCCTTTGAAAAGTTTTAGAGAAGAACCTGGTCACCTGTGTCCAGGTTGGCATTTCCTGTTCGAGGTTGGATCTTCTGGACAGGGCTCACCCTCATGCCCTTGAATATTGCTTCTAAAGCCCAACGTGGAAAAAAGAATGAGCTTGGAAGCTACACAGACCTGAGTTCAAAACACCAGACATTCCCCACCATTGTGTGACCTTGGGCGTGTTACTTAACCTCTGTGTTTGGTTTTGTCACTTCTCAAAACGGATCAATAGAACCCATCTTGAAGGATGGATGGAGGGTTGAATGAGAACCTTTAGAGAGTATCTAGAACATATAGAGTGGGTGTGTTCTTTTATTTGCTTGCCTTGGAAAGGTATTGTGGTCAGGTGGTTGTTGTTTTTCTTTCTTTCTTCACTCTCACCTGAAACTTCCTGCTCACATTAGCACTTCTAGACTGCTTTCTACAAGCTCTCAGGCACCCTCATGTGGCATTACCCTAAGAATGCCTCTGCTTTGTCCCCTCCCAGCTCATCCTCCTGCCAGCTCGCTAACCATGCACCAGAAAGCAGCACTTAGAAGGGAGGTGTTGAACTTAATCCCTTTTTAAAGCACCACTAGCTGAATTAAGTATTCAGGGCTGGGGCTGCTTTACTCAGGGCCAAGTGGGCAGGTGATTTGAGGGCTGCTACGAAGAAGCCAAAGTATGGCTCCAAGTTCCAAGCCTTGGGAAGTTCATCACTGAAGGCTCATCGCTTGGGTCTAATTTATTCATCCATTTCATAAATATTTATGGGAGTTCTTATCCTGTGACGGGCGTCACGCTAGGTGCAGGGGAAACATGCATGCACAGCACAAACAGGATCCCTGTCCTCATGGATCTTACGTTCTGTTGGGGAAATGGAAAATAACCGTAACACAAATACCTTGTGCAACGTCACTTCGTAATGAGTGCCGTGAAGGAAAATGAAACAGCGGAAGGACGTAGGAAGACGCCATGATAGAAAAGCCCATTAAAGAAGGCCTCTCTGAGGAGCTGCTGTTTCAACAGAGGCACGAGTGACGTTTGGGAGGGGGTTTTGGGAATAAGGAAAAGAATTCCAAGCAGAGGGAACCGCAAATGAGCATCAGGGCAGGTAGAGAGGCTCAAGAAGGGAGAGAGCTGGAGAGGTGACGAGAGAGGTGCCCAAAGCCAGATCCTGTGGGGACTCCTGGGCTGTGGGGAGACGTCTGGACTCTATTCTGAGCTGGAAGTTTTGAGCAAGTGGTTACGTGGTTCGACTCATTCTTTTCATGGATTTTATTTTCCAGTGGCCATGTGGTAAAATTGACTTTGTTCTGGTGTTCAGTTTTATGACTTTTAACACATGTATAGATTCATGGAACTACCAACACCCCTATGAGGACACAGAACAATCCCATCACCCAAAAACGTCTCTCATGCTATCCCTTTAATAGCCACGAACTCCCCACCTCTGACATTGGGCAACTACAACTCTGCTTTCCATCACTACCATTTGGCCTGTTGGAAAATGTGAAATCAACAGAATCAGACAGCACGTACCCCTCTGAGCCTGGCTGCTTTCCCTTGGCATACTTTCTTTGCGATTCATCCACGTTGTTGAGGGTGTAAATCATTTCTTCCTTTATATCACTGGCTACTATTCTATTGTATGGACATGCCAGTGTGTCTATCCATTCACCCTTTGAAAGACACGTGGTTGCTTCCATCTTTTGGTGATTATGAAGAGAGCTGCTATAAACATTTGTGTTCAGGTTTCTGTGTGAACATACATTTCTGCTTTTCTAGGGGAAATACCCAGGAGTTGGATTGCTGGGATGTATGGCAAATTTGCATGTAAC